CTTGTAGAGGGAAGAGGCGTTGGTTGTGTCATGCTTTATTTGGAATGAATATAACTACATCCACTCTGAATCTGTTCTACTCGGTCGGAAGTCAAGAGGGTGGGATACGCCTGTTGAAACTGAGAAGATGTCCCTGGATTCACGAAAAAGCACGTCTGGGTCGATTGTGCCATACAAATACCCGACGGGTAATGATATAGCACAGACGACTTTTCTGAAAAGAAACTCTCTCACTTGAGATCTATATACACTAACCACACAAAAGACGAAATCTTCGCTCTGAAAAGCGAACAATTCCATCCTTTTTTCTTCTTCTCTTCTCATAGCATCGTAGCCTCATTAATCTGCTCACCCATTCCCCCTCTTCCCCAATCTACCCAATCGCCAGCTTAGTAAACCTCAAGCACATACCGTCCATCCTCCTTAAGTCTATCAATCTCCTTCGTGGCATCCACCTTCCGTCCCGCAACCTTCGCCTCAAGCGCAATAGCCTCCTTCAAAACATCCGTGACATCAGGCACCGGCCACGTAGGACCACACAAATAGAATGATCCCTCCTTCTTGATATACGCACTGATAATATCCTGGACCGTCTCGCGCATACGGTCCTGGATATATATCTTGTGCGGCTGATCACGCGAAAAGGCGGCGCCCAGGAGGGTAATGACCCCCGCATCGAGATATGCTTCCCATTCTTCTCCGTAGAGGTATTCTTCGCGCTGGTGGCGGGATCCGAGATATAGTAGGATTGCACCGATGTCTTTTCCTTGGGCCTTTTGCATGGCGCGGTATTGAACGAAGGCGCGGAAGGGGGCTAGACCCGTTCCTAGCCCGGCCATGATCAATGGTGCGTCGTCGCGGGTGGGCAGTTTCATGACGGAGGGTTTCACTGATGCGGTAATTGTCGCGCCGACGGGCAAGCGGCTCAGATAACGGGTTGCTTGGCCGTAGCGCGTGCGGCCTAGGGCGTCGACCCAGTCTACCACGACGATCATGAGGGCGATGGCGTTGGGTGTCACGGCCTGTGCTGAGGCAATAGAGTATTCGCGACGCTTGAGCGGTCCGACCAATCGAACGAGTTCAGGGAAACTAGGTCGAGCAGATTTGAATTCTGCCAGGATATCGGCGAACGTAACCGTGTCGATTTCAGACCGACGCTTGAATTCCTCCGCGCCGTCTGGTCCGCCTAGGGAAGCGAGTTTTTTCTTTTCCATCTCATCGGTGGCGAATTCGGAAAGCGACTCGTAGAAGCGCTTTGGCGGTTTACCGAAGATGTCGATGTTTTGCGTTAAGGTCTGGTAGATCGTGCGAGTCTCGACGATAGCAGGGCTATCGCGGGACGGCACCTGTACGAGTTCCCCAGCGTTCAGACCATACGATTGGATGAACTGGAGAACCATCTCCGGGTCATTCTCAGCGTGGATACCGAGCGCTTCTCCAATCTTGTAGGTAAGACCGGAGTCGCCCAGGTCGAATTCGATATGGAAGATATTGCGATCGTAGGCGGTAGGCGTGAGTCTGCGGTTCTCTTTGACGCGAATAGTATATGTCTGGACAGACTGGTCAGGCCTGAGACGAATGCTAGTCGAGTAAGCTTCCTTAAAGACGAGGCCCTTGGCAGCGGCTTGCCAGCTACTGAGTTGAGGCTGCGGTTCAGCTTCTTTCTTGTCGAAGGGAACGAAGCTGTTCGTCTTGAGCGTCTTGGCGGTTTCAAGGTGGACATCGCTGGATATATCTGCCCATGAAGCAGGCACCTCGATTTGCTTCAGACACTTCCCAACTGCATCGATACACTCTCCCAGCTTCTCCTTGCTACTTTCCATGTCAGAGAGCTTCCGCAGAACATCCTGCTTAAACTCAGGATTCGTAAGCTTAAGGAAACTCAGTTCAACCAAAAGTCTCGTAGCATCCGTATCAGCTTCATAAGCAGGCGAGAGCGCCGTGTCCAAAACATAAAGCGCGATATTCCTCTTTTGGATATCCCTCCGCATGGACTCAGGAACTCTCTTTTCAATCTCTTCTTCTTTGAAATTAGGCAGTCGCAGAAGTAGACTACCGCCATTTCGCACGCTTTGTGTGATAGCAAGGTCCTTGATGAGTTTCTCATCGCCCAAGACTGCGATATCAGCTTCTTCGACCGGGTAGGGGGCGTCGATAGTCTTCTGGGATGATCGGACGTCTGTCCTGATAACACCGCCATGGACTAGGTTGTCGTAGGACTCGCTCAGGTAGATATTCCTGGTCGATTCTTCAGAGATGAGATTGCTCACGGCCGTAGTGGCGAGGAGTGCCTCGGAATCATCGGAGTCCCAGAAAACATATTGTTCAACAGATTCCATCTCAGCGAGACGGATCTTCGATTCGAATGTGACGTGCCTTGCGCTTTGCGAGATAATGGTGGCTAAGCTACCAGGAGTCAATACCTGCGACGCAGCGTACTTGGCATCGACCACAGCCGGCGTCGTGGCCCACTTGGTAGAGAAAGCAACAGCCGTCAGGACGTCCGAGTAAAGGATCGATTGAACTGAGATATCAGAGACAGCCGCATCATTAGCGACCTGTCCCAAAACATGGATCCTCCGAGTCGAAGACGGCAAGACCTTGATGAAAGCTTCTTCAATGAAAGGTCGATAAACCCGAACACTGACCACACCAATCTTAGAGCCGTCCTTGACAAGTTTCGAGACTACCTGTTTAGAAAGCTGGGCCTCCACACTGCCGAACACGACAAAGACGGTATCAGGTGATCCGTGACCGACGTATTCAAAGGGCTGGTATTCCGTACCCAGCTCGCCATTGAAAGCCTGGAGGAGCTCGAAGACCTTGCCAGCGCTATCAAGGCGCTTGTTAAGGTTCTCGGCAATCTTGGATAGCTTGTTGAAAACGCCCGCGACGCCAGCTAGACTCAACGTATCGATCACCCGCAATGTCTCGCGGAATGTGCGAACGCCGTCGTAGACATGAAGTGTAGGGAGGACCTTGGCCAACAGGGTAGCGAGCAAGGACATATGTTGCGACTCATAAGCAGAAGCGCTGGACACCAAAGCTAGTCCAAGCTCTTCAGCCAGTTGCAAGACGCTGCCGTAATCGGTGACGAGACCGTTCTCTGAGGAATAGTCCACAGCAGCCACATGGGCAACAAAGGGGCTAGCGACTCCGTATAGTAAAGATAACTGGTCCAGGGCAGATCGCAAGTGACGCAAGCTCAACGAAGGCGCCAACAGCGTCTGCGGGATATGGCGTTTGCTCAAGTCAAAATCTTTGGAAAAAATATAGCCAAGGGCAAAAGCGCCAGCGCCGGTTCGGGTCTGGAGAGGGAGAACAGTAGTGGGATAGCCATGTATATTCTGATTTTGGCGCACAGCCCAGTCTTTGACGCCGATGTCTAAGTCGAAAGTCGGGGCAGAGTAGGAGAAGATTTTGTCGGATAGAGCATAGGCGACTTGCTGAACAAGCAGCTGACCGGTGACATATGTAGGGCCTGATATCGAGGATAGAGGCACTGGTTGGCCAAAGGGTAGACAGGTCGATTGAATCCGTTTCGACGTCTGGGATTCGGGTGCAGTAACGCCGCCTTCAGATTGTGTCTGTTGCATCTTGTCTGCTTGTAGACCAATGCTTCGGAGGCGGCAAAGGGGTATCAAAAAAGTCTTTGGGGGTTTGTGGACAAAAAACGAAGGGTATGAGTTGGAGGTAGTAGGATATAGGGCCTCGACCGGCAAACAGGTAGGCGTAATACACTCAAGCACCCTTAACCCTTAAACAAATGCCTCCTAGATAGAATGATCAGGTAGAGGTGGTTGCAAATACTCTGCAACTGCGTAAACAAAATCGAGCGCGGGTATATAACAGGCGTCGAGATACAAACTCACAACGGGCACGATATTGTCACTGACTCATATATAAATCGTGATTACAGAATTACATATGCATAGAAAAAAAAGAAGAGAAAAAAACCCACCATCCCTTTCGCTCGCCTCTGCCCCGGATAGCAGTGCGCCAGACCTCGATGAAGCCCATTGTGTTATTCACATGCTGCGATGGCGCAAGACACACCAAGCGTCGGCAGCGGGTATCGGGGGCAGTTTCGCAATATCCGCTCGGGCGGGTTGGAGCGCCGTCAGGGGCGGCCGGAAGGGGGTGGTATTAGGTAAGGCTGAGGACTGGTGCGCAAGCGGGTGCGGCGAATCCGATCTTTCCAAATTCGCATTGGAAGGCGATGATCACGCAATGTCCCACCATTCCCAATACGGCCTAGTGCCACGGGAGTGGATCGAACTCTAAACCTGTTTCTAGTTTAGGTAGTCTGTAAGTAGATAGTTAAGTAAGGGTTCCATTACGTGAGCGAGATCGCTTAGTAAGGCAAAGTGATCGCTCGCCGCTTCGCATGCGCCCCAACATCATGTGCAATCAATCACAGTGGACAACGTGACTCGACTGGATTGTCACAAAACGGACTCAATGAAATGATTGATGGATGAGGTGCATTGGACTCTCCGGCAACCTTTGAAGTGTCTGAGATCCCTTGCGGTAGTGTACGTACCAAGTACAGCAGCGGATCCACTGCCTATGTGACTATGTAACTATTCCGTGACAGGAACAGGAACACATCCGGTCCGCCCCTATCTAGATAGTTTCGCTTAGCGGGTAGATAATCGGAAATCTACCGGACTTTCTTCGCACACTTTCAGCGCGACGCGAAATGAAATAGATCGTCAAACGACCAACCAAACATCAAACCAGATCCTAACGGCTTGGTGGTCTAGCGGTATGATTCTCGCTTAGGGTTCACCCTGAAAGCAAAGTTGCGAGAGGTCCCGGGTTCAATCCCCGGCCAAGCCCATTCATCATCTGTCACAGATGAGTTTAGCGATCATGGTGACACATTGTGTCTCTTTATTTTTGCTAAATTGAAATTCCTCATCCTTTTCGAGTTTCTTGTCCGGACTCTGGGTCCTAAGTTGTCCTATGCGGTGACCTTCCATACAGCAAGACAACCATCTCGATTGGTCTAGTGGCTAGGATACCTGCTTGTCACCAGTCATCTAGTTCCCAGTTCACGGGACCTGAGACTTGTAGCATACCGCAGGTGGCCGGGGTTCGATTCCCCGATCGAGAGACTTTTTTTCATTGCTGTCCCCCTCATCTCTTTTCTTCTTCTTTTTTTTCCTTTTCTACTGGTGGCCGTGGCATTAGTGATCCAGATCTGGCGACTCCCTTTTTGTGATCTTGGCCTGTTGGCATGCGTTACTGGATACCGAGTTTCGCAGCCATCCAAGAAGGAAATCTATGATCTATGGGAAGTCAAAAGCCACCGGAAAGTCGAAAACCTATTGTCTCTATTGCGGTCTGATCTTCGTTGTCCGGGGCGGTGAATGGTTGCCAATTTGCGTGGTGGAGCGGAGATGAAGAGATTGGGCGTTGGCGTTAGAACCATCTGTATTTGGATGTCATATCGCACTTTATAGACTCATCTTCTTGGTAATCTTCAATTGTAGGACTGCGGTATGCTGATTGCCGGTCGCGTGAGAGACGGAGAATGTTTTGGTCTAGCCGGGTTCATCGGGGGGCTTGTGGGGAAACCCAAAGGGATTGTAACCAAGACACCGGGTCTTCACGCTGTTTCGATTCCTTACAGGTCAGGTCGTTGACCTCAGGTGTACCTAATAGAGGCTGAGTGAAGAGTCTATGTGGCTCGCCATATAAGCAGTCGAGGTCTGTCTGCGTAAGCTAAGTTCTTTCGCGATGTCGGGAAGCGTTCTTAACTTCTAGGAACAGCCATAGCAGGTTGTTTGGGCTGTCTAATTGTGAGTAAAAATTGGTGCAGGACATGCTTTCACGGTTGTGTTCATACATCTCCCAGAGAGCTCGACGCAGGATCGCTATGGACATTCTTATTTTCTGACCGAATAAGTATCACTGTTGAGGCCAAGTAAACATGACAATCTCACGGCCTTCGGTATGGATTAGAATATCCCGTTTCCATTATAAAGCGTGATAGGAGGCGGTATAGTGGTGAATGAGCGCAGCCTGACCCTTTTTGATAGAAGTGACAAGGTGGGCGATGGATTGATACAAGATAGGAGAGCATCTCAAGTATCCGAACGTGTCATTTCGGACGTCACGAGACCTCCCGTGCAATGTAAGTGTATCACAAGTCCAGTGAGTGACACCGCCCAAACTGAAGTTAGGGTATCGGCACGCGTAGAGAGATCTCGAATGATCTGATGCTGAATCCGAGATGACTTTCAAAGACAATGAGGCGAACGGTACAAACTGTAATTACATCGTGATGGGGAGGACAAGTGGCGCCAACTTCAGCGATCGGGCCAGATTAGGTGTGGCTGAGACAACGGACTTTACAGTTGCGACCCACTCAACAGTGGCTGGGCAGAAGCTGGGGATTGACATCAACAATGTGCTGCCAATAGACGGCGGTTTTATGTTGCCAAAGACTCAGAATCGTTCAGGCCGAAACGCGGCTCAATTAGTTGAAGTTGCAGCAGTATCGACTGAGCGCAATACCTAGCAATCGAACAATCGTGTGCTGCCATCATACAGACGTACGTCTGTACGTCCGTAATTCGGAGCCAATTGCGTTTAGTTATGATGGACGTTTCCCGATCAACGCATAACTTAAAAGGTTCAGCCCCTATGGCGTAGTGGTAGCGCGTGTCACTTGTACTCCTAGTGCTATGACAAGGTCTCTCGTTCGATCCGGGATGGGGGCAATCTAATCAAGAAACATTCCTTTTCGGCTAAATTTCTTTTTTTTCAACGCATTCAGGGGATTGAATGATTCAACCGGATACGACACAAACTTTTGCTCATTAACACTTTTATTAACCCGGACAAACATAAGTAAGGTAATAGGTACGTTGACATGTTTGGAGGATTGTCCGGCCCTCAAATCCTGCAAAAGCTACAGGAACGTCGCTTCCTTTTTGATCGAAAAAATCACGTAATAGTTACCACGTGCCTGCCACTTTTACATATTTTCGCGATGCCATTTTCGGGACCGAGACTGTGCACGAGACCTGATGGGGCTGCTAGCGGAAACGCCTAAAAAGACACGCCTGAAAAGATGATTTGACTACCTACAACATTATCCAAATCTTCCCACCTTTTGAACATTCATCTCCCGTCCACAATGGCGCCAAGTCACCGAAACGACAGCGTCACGATATGCTATGACAGGTAGGTAATCCAGCCCTTGATTGCATTGTTCTTCACGGGGTATGTATAATTTGACGAGATCTACCTAGCAAACACAATCATCGGTCGTCTACGATATAACAATCTGTTCAACAGCAATCACGCCGCGGTATATATAGCGTCGTCCCTACCGATGGAGGATTATTCGTTCATCCTCCACCACAATCATACACTCTCCGGCCTCTCATCCCCTCACTCCCAAGAACACAACTACAACCACCACAACTACACAGGTGTACCTCTATGAAATAGCTGTGAGCCTGAGTAAGTTGTCGTCAAGCCTCATTACTTTTCAAACGTCTAATTCGACCTTCTAGCGCCGCCCGTGCGCATCCGTCCAACGTTCGACTGGTCGGCCTGTTACAGCTGGAGGAACCAAGGTAGGTCCGTGGGTATATCATGAGACAGTTCTTTTCGCTAATATCCTCCCAGGACGTTGCGCTGTGTGCTCTCCAAATCGAGGTAGAGGGTCTATACTCGTCTGGCCAACCTCCTTAAGTTGATCGACCGTCACAAATTTGAACGCAACACCATCCACGACGTCCATGACTACGAATTCGAATTTCGTAATTCGCCCCGCGATGACTGGGCGTTCTTCTTCAGCCTTGCTCATCCATTCTGGAGTGGTACCGGTGCAGTCAGCAGCAGGCAATGCCGCTTCCACCAGGGCCCAGAGGCTGCCGTATGCGGACGCCGATAAGTTTATCGCTTGCGTTTCGTCAGAACTCATACGGAGTGCCACTCATCCACGCCGGTGACAGTGGGTCACGAAAGCCACACTTGAAGTGATTAACGTTCCTTGAAAATCCTCTGTTGCGTCTGTTGTCCGCTCTGGAGCGAATTTGGTATATAAAATCCCTACTGCCCGGCAGCATAGGGCGCAATCTCACGCAAATCGAAGCGTCACCCGAACGCCCAGGACGGCGATGTCTTAGAGACGCCGCGGAAGGCAGGCACAGAAATCCCATTTTTATTGAGATATAGGCGCAACTTTTTCGGCGCCCCAGACTTGATACTCTCTTCTTTCAACACCTCACCATTCAGATCGTGGTCCTCGCCCCCCCTGGTTCTTCTTTAAAAACACTTATTGTCACCATTTCTGCCCCTCTTGACCTAATTACAACGACATGGCGAGCGCATGCCTCATCATTGCCGGTGACCTCGCCGGCCCAAAGCCGCTCGGTTTCTGGACCTGTCAGGGAGCCGTCCTTGGCGCGCCCGAGACGACGACGACGGAGAGCTCGCATTTCAGTATAATGATCCGCTGAAGTGCATAGCTCATATCATGGACATCCTCCAGGAATATCCCCAACCCGGTGTGTCCGTGATATTATAGAGGAGCACCCGGTAAATTCACTGAGGCACAGTAAACGTACGGAGCAGATATGCTAATAATTCATTAGAGGCTCCAACGTCTCGTCGAGTTGAAACATCGATGGGACACCAAGGGGAACTTGATGCCCGTGCTGATAAGCATCAAGAAGAGCCAACAAGTCAACGCCCTGGCCGCACACATCTGCCTACCCACAATCAATCTACGGCCTTGAGACGCCTGTGTCGCAATCCAGGGGAATGGGCCCTTTGACCGCTACGTCGCGTTTGGCGGCGACTATTTTCGTGGTGCGTGCTCTTGTTGCGCATACAACGCAATTGGCGCAACGTGCACGTTCCATGAAAGGCACAAAGGCGGCGTTTACTCTGCAATGAGTGTATCTACCCGTTCACTTCCTGACTAATGCCGCTGCCATCCCGAAAAGCTCGACAGACACGATACTACACCTGGCAAACCCCTACGACGTGGTGATGGCGAACAAAGGAGTACTGGTACCGGTAGAGAGGAGCTCATCATCCACCGATTTACTGATCGTCAACCGATTATTACTTGTTTACATCGTTCCTGCACTGAAATGGGGAAGAATCCCCATATACTATATATCTGGGGTCACCATCTATCCAGCAACGCATGGGACACGGCGGAAATAAGCTGGATTCATACATCCCTATCTGTCAACACCTCAGCTGCCGGGTTTCTTGATGAGTGCAGTCCAGCTGCTATATATCCGGATTCACCGCCTGTCTAGCAATGCATGGGAGTCTATCTTCTACAGCAAGGACCATACGTCCTTGTATATCGCCACATTCGAGATAACTTCTGCGATATGGGCCCAATTTGCCGTCGAAGAAACCTCGCGCCGTCTATTTTATATGCGCGAGATAATCGGACTCATAGTCCGCGCTGCGAAGACCTATCCGGTCAGTGCAGCCAATGACTCCCGTGCTCAGCGGCGCACGCTCTCCCGTAGCAATCACCTCGCCGTACAAATGTCAATGGTGAGTATCCATTAGCCTGTTTCTTCATCGAATCATTGTCCCAGCACCACTGTGTATACATCATTACATCATCCACACCGCTAACGAGGTCTCCCAGCGAGAGGTGAACGGGATGCGAAGCCCGCAGATCGACTCCCTCGAGGAGATACTTGATCGGCTCAGCACCCTGATGTACGAGTACAATGCAATTGATTTTTGCGAACGGCTAGAAAAGACGCTCGAAGAGCAGGATTGGGAGGGGCAATTCAGCCTTCTCACCGATAGCAACTCCGTTCGAGGAGATACTTGCCCGACTGAGCTCGCTTATGTACGAGTACAAAGCGCCCAGCGGGGACGCCTCCATGACCCCGACGATCTCAAATAAGTTCAATGGTTGGTTCTCTTCGTTACTCACTGTATCGAAGCAGCGACGTCTCATGAATTTGGAATGTAGCCCAAGGCAAGAACCGAATCCTCCAACAACAACATCCACAAGTTCTACAAACGTATGGTCACTCGTACTTCGAATAGTTGATTGATCAGGTATTGACTGGAAAATAGTTTTGTACGTCGAGCTTGCTTCATACGCCAGGTAAAGGCACCGCAGAATCTTGAACAAGTTCGCGTCCTGTAAAATGTGAGGAACACGCATGCCCCCAAAGGCGTCGGAAGCAGACCAAAAAAGAAAAGGCAACTGTCGACAAACACCTACCTATCCTTCCAACACGGCTTCATTAACACCCGCTCCCCTATATGAGAGCTACGTACCTAGGTACATAGTTGATAAGCGTGTAGAATTGTCCTCACCCTATGAACCCGAACAAAGAGGAAAAGAAAGGAATGAGGGAGGCGCCGTCGCAGGGTACTTTGATGTAGACAGAATAGCAACTGTAGATAAACGCAAAAACGGCGGGCAAGATTTGTATTTTACTTGACTTGAGTCCCCGGGCGCGAATAATCCAGTCCACATAACCCAACCACAATGCTCAAAATGAAAACAATGCCAGACGAGACCGGGGTAAAAAAAAAAAAAAAAAACCTGTTTGCCTTTGTAATCGTCGCATCAATGCCATGACAAATTAGGACCTCGAAGGCGACGATACGAGGGAAACATGAGTTCGTGTACTCGTTTTAAACCCCCCTGCAACCGACCCGAACAGATATCTACACACAACTCCTAGATAACCTTCCCCTACAAGAAGTATCAGAACCTCAGACTTCCTATTCCAGGACGAACAGACCCATCCCAATGGATGCATCTAACCTTAGCACACACAGCCCCGCCGCCGTCGATCCGGGATTCTTCTTACCATGAGACCTATTGTGTCCCCCTTAATATTCCAACCTACCTACCTACCTACCTACTTTCACCGTTATGAACAAATGAACAAAAAGAAAAAAAAAAAAAAGAAAAAAACCCTCCCGTCTCCATATATTGCTATCTATCTATCTATCTATCTAGAAGTCTAGGCAAAAGCTTACACGCGGAAGCCTAGTAAGAAGCAAGAAAAAAAAAAAAAAAAAACAGCAAACAAAACGGTTAATATGGAAAAGAAAACATACCTCTTCACTCACACTTCATAGTCAGTTCCTAAATACTTGACCGGCCACAAGAGGGAATACAAATATATTGACCTTCTCGAAAGTCAATGTATAAATGTGTGTGCACTGGCTCGACAATGACTGTCCATGTTGTGGGACATGTACACCTACGCCAAACATCACCAGGAGCAAGTAGAACCGCAGAGGCATTACGTGTGATTACGTGGGAGATTAGAGCACTGTCACCATAGGCTCAGATGGCAAACCCATAAGGCAGGAGGAGAATTGACTTTTTTTTTTTTTTTTTTTTTCTCTCTAAAATTACGAGAAGACCGATTAGGGTACTAGTAACCGAGAAACCCTGAGTAACCATCTGGCGACTCTAGCTATAGAGTACTACCATTCTAGCAAAAGTTCCGTACAGGTAGTCCGCCAAATAGCAAACTGAACTTATATCACCATCCACCCACATTCTAGCCGGATGCCGCCTCCATTAGGCATCAACAGAAGATACGCCAGATAACCCGCACAGGAGTGCAATTGAACATCAACTTATCTGGCGGAGAAGAGGACAGGAAGTCTCACGGGTCGGATTTCTGGAGATCGCCCACCTCCGTGGCGCGTGAGCGAGTAACATTTTTCTCAGCGTCACCATCTGCACCAG